TAATAACTATCACTTAGGAGTAATTACTTTATGCAGATGTAAACTTAGATGTTTTGCACATCTTACCTTATTTAATTTTATCTGTAAAAAAGTATAGCTATGTAGATATTATTACTCCTACTTGAAGGATGAGAAAACTAAGGCTCAGGAAGGTGAAGGAATTTTATTAATCAATGATAGACTAAGGCTGAATTAACAACAGCAAAAAAAATTTCAGTTGCTTCATGTAGCAAAAGTACATTTTGCACACAAAGTCCTTTCTATTCTGAGTCCAGGGGCCTCTCTGAGAATGACCTTTCCCCAAATGTTGAATTAGCAGTCCAAACTGAACACCCATCTTTTTGAGTCTGTCATCTTAATGTGAGGGCACCTTGATTACCTTTGTGGAAGGAGAATAGAAGACAAGAAGTGGAGGGTCTCACAATGACAAGTGCTTCAGGCCAGGAGTGGCACGTGTCACTGTAATTGTGCAGCATGGCAGCATGAGGTTAGGCTGCTTGTTACCCTAATACATGACCCAAAAATTTATGTTGAAGGAAATTGGTTTTTATTAGCATGGTTCCAATTTTGGGGGTGCTGAGAGCACTCCTGCTCTGAACCCCTCTCCCATGAGACCCAGAATTTGTTTTGCTCCCCAAAAGATTACAAGCCAAAACCACACCCAGAAGGTCCCCCATTTCCTTATCTGTCCTGTTTGGTTTAAGCCAGGCACACAGACTCCCTTTCCTCTCTGGAATGTGCACACTCATGGGTTTAATTGTCGCCATCTTCTGGCAGCAGGTCTCTCTCTCAGGATCTGGGGTGCACTGCTCTCAGTCCCCACGCAGCCATCCAGGATGCGTGTGCCATTGCTGCACTGAATTATAGTGTCCCAGAGTCCACTGTGGGACACTATGTGTCATGGAGGCCAGCAAGGCACACGTCTCAGCGCAGGACCCTGCCTCCGGGAGCAGGCTCCCAATCATTCTCCCAATCATTCAGGGCCTAAGCTCCTGGTGGGCCTGGCATCGGCCAGTCCTATGAGACCTCCAGACCGACCATGCAGGGAGCAAGGACCAGAGACCCAGAGCATCCAAGCACACCTGCAACCAGAAGTCCCAAGCTAAAACTCCACAAGCGAAGAGCTGAGAGAGAAGCAAGAACCCGCACCCAGAGCCAAAAGCCCGAGTGAGCTTCTCCCTCCCTCCTGTAAAAAAAAATCCTCTCTCTCACAATCCCAGGCACTCTAGCAGTCAGTGGGAGTGTCCAGCTTTTTAACCAGTGGCCATGTTTGTCTTTGCCCTTTTTTCTGGGCATGGGAAGAAGTGTCCAGCCACCCTGGGTCGGGCATCCACCCCCCACAGCTCATGCAAGTGCACAAGTGCTGTGCAGCCTGTGTCACAAGCTAGTAGCCCCAAGACTGTGGACTGCTAATCCCCAGCTCTGGTTTGAATGCCAAAAGCTCTCTTCCCCTCTTTCCACTAACTGCATTTGTTTATACTAGCCTCTGGCCTCAGGCAACCCCCCTTTTTCAGGCAGCCCCTCCCTTTGCAGAAAGCAGGCTGCTTTAATCTGCCTCTGCCTCACCCTTCCCACCACCCCTGCTTTTTCTGGCAAGAAGAGAAGCAGTCTATATGCTGGATTTGGGGAGGTCCCCTGCTCAAATTGGGGTCCCTTGCTTTCCAGTAATTTCTGCTCTGACCTACCCCACTACATCACTTCCATTCACAGCCCCTGGGCAAGAATAACTGAGGATACCCACAAAAAAAGAAGAACTAGGTATTGTTGAATTTTAACTCACAGTTACCTAAGGCCATACAGGAAAATGACAGAGTAGCAAAGACACCACCCTAAACTGTTTGATTTCAAATTCCTATATTATTGCTTTGTCAACTGCCCCAAAAAGTATCTGTAATTAAATGGGAAACTAACTGTATAAAAAAAGAATTGTCAAGTATTGTTAAAATTTGGGGGACTGTGAGTGCTTAGAAGTGATTTAGGACAAATGAAAAGTTTCTTCCACCTTAAATTATACCCTAGTGCCAGCCAAATAAGTGGGAAAACTTCAGATGACTCTGGACATCTAGCCCTCCTCCTCAGTAATGCCATCATGGTGAGCTCAACACATCACCCCCAAGAAACAATCTAACAGTAAACATTACTATTGTTGATATTATCATAGCCTGCATTTATTGAGAAATTGTTCCAAAGCAAATGCTCTAATTTTTAACTCATATTCATTCATTTCTTCCTTACAAGAGCTCAATGAATTCTATTAATGGTCTCATTTTCATGTGACAAAAGTGATGCAAAGAGGTACCAAATGATCTAAATGTAAACAGTGGGCTCACTATGCAAATTCAATTAAAGAAGCTTTCCCTACCTTTTCCTTCTTACCAGATTGCTCTTTTGCAGGATCTTTATGTAGATAAGTTTTAAAGCTGCCTCCCCATATAGCCATCTTTGCAAAGGAATTACAGTAAGCATGACCAAGTCAATACAGCAAGTTCTCAATCAACCAGAGAAGGCAGCTGGCAAGGTCCAGAGAGACAGGTGCCAAAGTTCAAAGCTTTGGTTTAAGACCAGACACTCAAGTTACACAAACCAGTTCCTACGATAAGCCAGTGAAGGAGAACAAGAGGAACAAAAAGAGCAGGCATTGGTGGAGCCCTGGCGAACCAGGGCCGGCAGTGCTCAGCACCCTGCAAGGGGATTCGGGGCTCCAGAAGGCAATCCCAGCAGCTTCTCTGCCTCACTTAAGATCAGCAGGGATTCTTGACACAAACAAATAAAAAAAATGAATGAACAGAACACATATTTTAAAAAAAGAAACAACTTATAATAACATCAATATCAAGTACCTAGACATAAATCTAACAGAAATGGGAAGGAGCTTTATAGAAAATCTCATAAAACTTTATTGAAAAACATTAGAGAAGAACAAAATTTAAAAGTGCTGTCTCATGTTCATGGATTGTACGACACGGTATCTATGTCATTTCTTTCCAAACTGATTTCTAAGTCTACAAAGTCAGTGTAATTCTAAGACTGTTAAAACAGGTTATTTTTAAGCAACTTGACAAGTTGACTCGACCATTTTATATGGAAGAGCAAAAAGCCAACGAGAGCCAAAACACTTCTGAGGGAAAAAAGTGGTGGATTTGGCTTTCAGAACACTAAGCATTATTATTAGGTGGTGGTAATCAAAGCAGGCTGCTGTTGATGTGCATGTGGTCAAACAAGTACATGAGAAGATAAAAGAGCCTAGAAACAGGCCCACACGTGCGTGGAAATTAGATTTATTTCTAACATTGCACATCAGTGGGAAAAATGTGAACTATTCAGTAAATGATCCTGGAGCAATTGGTTATTCATGTAGACAAAAGTGAAATTTGACCCCTCTTCATACCATACACAAAATCAATTCCAGGTGGATTAAATATGTAAGCGTGAAAAGTAAAACAATAAAACTTTTCGAAAATAACAAGAGAGAATAGCAGAATACCCGTATGAGTTGTGGAGAGGGGAGAGTTTCTAAACAAGAGCTAAAAAATATAATTCACGAGGAAATGCATGATATACTGAGTGGCATTAAGAACATCTGTTCATCCAGAGACTTAGTACAAAAAATTAAATGACAAACCACACAGTCAGAGACAGTGTTTGGGAGTGTGCAATGAAACAGTTAGTATCCAGACAGTAAACAGAATTTATATTAATCAATGAATTAAAGACAACTCAAAGGAAAATATGTGCAAAGCCTTTAATGAGCACTTCACAAAAGCAGCAATTCTAGTGACCAATTAGCATTTTAAAATATTACACAATTCACTAGTAATCAAAAAAAAAACTAAACACAGGAGGAGGTACCACTTTTCATTCGACAGTTTGTAAAAAATAGGGGTTGAGAATATCAAATATTGGCAAGGGTGGCGGGCAACCATATTTCTTACGTACTGGTGGTAGGATTGCAAATGGTTACAGTTGCTTTATAAACAAGGCAATGGCATTATTTAGTAATATTGAACATGTTCAGGCCCTCATTTGAAATGGTTCAGAACCATCATTTTGACTCCCAAATATCTATCCTACAGAGAATCTGGTCCAATCACACTATGAATTTATACAATAACGTTGCTAGAAATACTGATAATAATAGGGAAAAAGGAAGTGATAAAACATCCATTTAAAGCAAAATGGATAAGTGAATTCTACCTTATCTATACACTAGTCTATTCTACAATACCGAAAAGAGTAAATTATAGCTACATAAACAACATGGATACATCTCAGAACATAATGTGAAGAAAAGCAAATAGCAGGGGATTAATAGCAATGTGATGTCATTTATATAGATGTCAAAATCAGGCAAAACTAAAACATTCTATTGTTAAGAAGTACAAGCATAGAAGATATACCCTGTTTTATAGCAGGGTTGCTGTTGGCTCTGGGAGAAGGACAGGCATGTGATGAAGGTGATGGGGGCTGCATGTGAAGTTTGTCCGGAAAAAGTCCAACCATTGTTAATATAACGAGAACGGTTTGTGTGACATCGATGAAACCTGGCAGCCAAGGAGACTGGACTGGAATGCGCATGTGTGAACAATGACAACCTCACTGTACTAGTCAGTGGGGGCGGTAGCCTCAATTGAGTGAGCATGAGTGCTGTGTGGCCATTGCATTCAAAATGATGGAGTGAGTAGAGCAACAAGTCTGCATCAAATTCTGCGTTCAGCTTGAACATACCTCTGTGGAAACTACTGGGTGATTCAGAAGGCCGCAGCTATGGGAAGCCAGTGATTGGCAGCTTCATCACAACAACACACCCAGTCATGCATCACATCTCATGCAGAGTTTTTGGCAAAACATCACATCACCCAGGTGACTCAGCCCCACTAACAGTCCAGACTTGGTGCCCTGTGACTTCTGGCTTTTCCCCAAACTAAAATCACCTTCGGAAGGAAAGAGATTTCACATTATTGATGAAAATCAGGAAAATATGACAGGGTAGCTAATGGCGAATGGGAGAACTGTGTGAGGTCCCATGGTACCTACTTGAAAGAGACTGAGGCGTCATTTTCCTATGTACACTATTTCTTGTATCTTGTATCTTCTTCAATATAGGTCTCTATTTTTAATATTACATGGCTGGATACCTTCTGGACAGACCTCATATACAGTGGGTTTCAAAATAATGAGTAATAGTATATAGGTATTCATTTTATTTATATTTTACATAATGCATGCATATTTTAAAATTAATATTTTATTTAATATTTAATATAAAAAAATTTAAAGACATGTTGAATATGTGCATGACCATTATATATAATACCATATTGCATTGGAAATCATTAACTTACAAGTTTCCTATAACTAAATATTTCAGTGAGTGATACTAATGACTAATCACTCATACTAACCCCTTAATAAAAGCCAGGTGCTGAGCAGTACTCTAGAACATCATCTCCATCTTCTCAAACCTTTCCACCCATACGCCCATCATGTAGGTGAGAAAACTAAAGCACAAAGAAGGTAAGAACATTCCCAAATTTCCATAAGTGTTAAAGTGGCCCCTGCTGGCTCCCTTGGGCTCACGAAGCTGTAGCTTTCAGGATCCCACCGATATCTACATGCTCGATACATATTCAGTGGTCCGTGGGCTGGCGACAATGTCCCTGCAACCAAGAAGTTTGAATAATCTGACTCAATGGTCCACAATATGACCAGCAGAGGCTGACAACCAGTGAAAAACAAAGGAAAAAATGTGAACTTGTTGGACACTATAGATAAGTCCATTCTAGGGAGTAAATTCAAAACAATATAGAAAGGGTTTTGTTTTTGTTTTTTTCTCTCAAGATTATTGAAAGAAAACACGCAAACCTGCTGTTACGGGAAGGAGCGGAAAGAATCCACAAGAGTGTAGTAGTCCTTCTGGGAGACCGCCTCTTTCTGTGCTACTATTTTATTGCCGCCTTTTTCCTCCCGTGGGTATCTTTTATTGTTTGTTTTGGGGATGAGAACAGTGAGGCTAGGAATGCTTCCTGCCTCTCCCAAGGGTGCCCATCTAGCGAGAAGGATACCTGCATTTGCATCGCCGTCGGTCTGAACTCCACCTGCCATCCATCCAAGTCCACGCTGCCTCTTCGCGAGACCACATCGATAAAGGAACACCCCTGGGCTTCTGCTACACGTCAGTCGGTCCAGTGGATACCAAGTGAAGGGTAGGGTGATGTCTCACATAGTAACAGCCTTGGCGTCAGATAATACATTCGGGTTTGAGTGCAGAATTTACACGCACCTTGACCTTTGTAATTCTCATCTGGGCAACCGTAATTATCAACGATAATCATAATGAAATAATTAAAACCGACCTTAGGAGGTTGGCATAGTGACTAGAGAAATGCTCACGTACACAATGCTTGAGGCGGCGTCTACACAGGCTTGTGCCCTGACTCATCCCACCTCTGTCTAAGCAGGGAACTACCGAGCCTGCGTGGTTTCAGCACTGAGTTGCAGACAGGCCTTGCTGAACTGGCGTCCTGTCCGCCCTCTGATCTCCATCTCCCCATCAGCACCAGAGTGATGGACGAGATGACATTGGGAAGGGCCAAGCTACAAGAGCCACAGTGGACTAGTAAAGCTTCAGACATGAGCTGGCAAATGCGCTCTACCTTGTGAGGAGAGAGGAGGGAGACAGTGACTCTTGATCTGTTTTTCTCTGCTGCAACGGGAAACCTGACCCTCACCACCCACCTTGCTGGGATCTGGGAAGGATTAATGAGACAACATGCTCAGCGCTCTGCTGAGAGCTATTACACCTTACAGAGGGAAAAACCCCATTGTTGCCAGCACACAAGACTGACAATTTGATGAGGTGTGAATATTTTTAGTGTAACAGTATGTAAACACTGCTTTTTTTTTTTCATCCAAGCCATCCCTCCCCATGCACACTCTTATGCATTTTTATGAGGCCATTTCTCTGTGGTTGTGAATATTCTCGGCTTTGCCCTTTTGCATGAGCCCAAAGAATGTGCTGACCGGGGGCCCCGGCTGAGCCTCGGAGCTGACTCCTAAGGCTCACTGCGTTCTCTGGGAGAAAGGCTAACAGGCCGACTCCCATATCCCATGCCAACATGTATGCCTTCCTTCTGGCCCGTACAAAATGCATCGTGCAGGGCCGGGGGCAGAAAGAGGCCTCTGTTGGCAACTCTTTTCTGCATTTAATACCTGCTCCCAACGCTCGCTGCAGCCAGTCACATCTAACATTCTAGGCCCGTGGCTGTCAGGGAGCTGCCGATGGGCCTGGGCGGCAGGTAAACAAGGGGCAGGTGAGGCTGGCCTGTGCCGCCCCAACACGTCAGCCCCTACGTTACCACTGCACAAGGTATGTGCATGTGGCTAATGTCTCTGGAGGGTGGCACGTGTGGGAGGTGAGGATACAAAACCTTACTCTAAAAGTAGCAAATCCTGTGATGTCTACCTCCAAAAATCCCCAAATCAACACTTCTCCTCACCACCACCAAGAAAACCCTCATGCCAGCCAGGCCTCATTCTGTGTCATTTGATTAGTGCAATAGGCTCCTAACTGATTTTTCAGATTCTGCTCTTCGTCCTACCCCAAAATCTATTCTCCCTCAGCAATCAGAACAACTTCTAAAAACATAAGTTATATCTTGTATTGCATGAACTCTCCAATAACACTTAAACCCCGGAATTTTTCCATCAGTCTCCAGATTGGGCTCCTGCCGACCTCTTCCCGTGCTCTCCATCCGGCCTCTCTCCCCTCACTTTCTAGGTCCCAACCTCAGCCCTTACCGTGCCTCCAGGATGCGCAGCTTCTTTCCGCCTTTGGGTCTATGCATTTGCTTCTTGCTCTGCCCAGAGTCCCCCGCTCCAGGTCTGCCCTTGGCTGGTGACCCCATGTCTAACGTCTCAGCTCAGATTGCCCCTCCTCACTCACTGTCCAATTCCTCCCCTGTCCCCTGAGGTGCTCCCCCCACCACTTGTATTTCTTGCACAGCCATTATCGTGACTTGAACATACTGTGTACATTTCTTTGCTTTTGTGTTTATTATGCCTTGCCCCGCCAACTCTGTAAGCCCCATTAAGAAAAGCATCATGCCGCCTATATCCTTGGTATATCTGTCTCCAGCACCTAGTGCCTGCCAAATGGCAGTGGCCCAGGAAATGAAAGAGGGTCCTCATAACACAAAGGGAAACCACAAGAAAAGTTGAACTGTACACATTTCTCAGACCACTCACCAATGTAGAGTTCAGACCACTCAGACCACTCACCAATGTTCAGAATACCACCTTCCTCCAGCCTTCCATACCAGTCCCCAACCCTGACCCACAGGGGTGGCTCCTCCTGTAGAATCTATGCCTGACAGCACCTGACCCCTCGGCCCCACTCCGGGCGCTCTAGCACACACAGCCGTCCTGTAGCAGTTTACTTGTCAAAGTCCACACACTTCAGCCCAAAGTTTCAGCAAGTTTTTCCAAGATCAGCTCTGGCCCTCGACATTCACCATGACAGTTCAGCTTCTTTGAATTCTCTTCTCCTGAGAAAGGTGCAACAATGGCCACTCCTTCTTCTTCATCATCCAATGAAAGCTATTAGGCCCAGAAAAGACACAAACACACACATTCCAGGGATAAGCATCAAGCCTCAGACACAATGCCATCTCAATCCACCTGAAGTGAGGAAGACACCTTCCTAACGGCAATGACATCTGCCCATTGTAATTGTTCATTGGTTGCAGCATCTTCCACGGTGAGGGACAGCAAAGGCCACGGGCCTTCAGACCATGTCCTTGGTCCTTAGTGATTTATGAGAAACCGGGCTCAGCACAGAGCAAGCTGCTCCCAGTGACTGCCCCTTAACTAGTGATAGACCAGTAAAAACACATTCAAAACTGTTTTAATGTTGTTGTTTTTTCCTTTTACCCTTTGACTGAGGTCATTTCTACAGGAGATTGTCTTCCTGTTATTTCTAGACACAGAGGGGCTGGGTATGCACCCCTCTGTCCAAGCTGGGGAAGAGGTGGCCTTCCCAGGGGGGAGTGTTTCTTCCACGTACGGATGACTGTGCTAGACTCCTAGTGCCTTGACTGCTTGGAGGAGAGCCCGATACAGCCCCAAAGTGACAGGTATGGCAGAAATGGGGGTAAGAGGTGAGAGAAGGTTTCCCAGGCAGGTGACCTCCTGGAGCCAGCCCCAAAGGGTGAGTGAAGTTACTAACCAAGGAAGAAAGACAATTGTTTCAGTCACCATCAGTTGGGAGAATCCTGAAGGCAGCTGGGACCATGAAGTATCCCGAGAATCCAGAGAACTGCACACAGAGAAAGCATAGGAGGCAGAAGAAGGCAGTGACAGCAGATGTGTCTGAGAAGGTAAGAAAAGTCCCTCTCATGGACAACCTAGTGACGACCAATGATATCTGAACCCTCCTCCAAAAGCAAAAGCATAGAAGTGCAAGGTTGTTAAGCAGAGGAGAAAGGAGTTCGTATTCGGGGATTTCACCCCAGCGCCAGGGCTGGCTGAGGCCACGCCCTCCCCTTTCCTCTTGGTTGGCATCCCGCCAGCCCTCCCTCCCTTGCTGCCTGCACCTGAGCGCTGAGTCATCACCGGCACTAGGATTTCTAAGAACATCAGCCCCAAACCATTACCTGAGAAACAGGTTTGTATTCTTTACGACGGAAGAGACCTAATTAAAGTTCCCAGTAGTTAAAATGAGCAAATGTTACTTATATAATGGGATTATTAATTACACCGCCTGTGTTTCAAAATGCCGTGTTTAAACAGATCTTGATATTTCGAGGGGATTTGCGGTGTCAGAGGTATCTTTCCCTTGACTTCTATGTGACTGCTGATCCTTAGCCAAAACAAATTGAGGTCTGCTGGCTAATATTTATGCCATGGGCCTGACATTTTCATTCTCAGGGTTATTAACCAGTTGCTCTATACCAATTTGTTCTCAAGGTTATTAATCAGTTGCTTGTAAAAAAAGTTTTATCAAACACCCTGCATATACCATCCACATCAGCTCCTCAAGGTCTCCAAAAATTTTGTGTTGAACCAGCACCCTTCCAGATAATGTTCCCAGAAAGTCAAGTGAAGAATGAATCAAAGTTCGGTTGCACTCATGTCTACACTCAACACGTGACTAAGATACAGCTGTGTTGAGCAAATGGGAAAGGTGGTGATAAGTGTAATTAGGATATCAACTACTGAACTTTAGAAGCCAGGTCACTTAGAGGGATGAACATGAACCCAGGGATCAAAGACCTCCATCTGCACCCAGCTCCACTCCCGCCCGGTTGGGTATCTTGGCAAAGCTGCTTAACATCTGGGTTCAGCATGCTCATCTGTGAAACTGGCTGCATGAAGGGGGTTTATGTAAGGTTCCCCATCAAGACTGAAAGCCGTTATCCCGATGAGGGGGTGATGCTATTACTCCCATCGTCACCACCGTTCCATTACTGGGTTTAAGAAAAGGATTATCGGAGACTAATTTTTATAGTGACTGTGTTACCCTAAGCCAGAATTTGAGGGCTGGCTGTTTCATTTTGCCTCTAGCTGGGATCCGCACTCACCCTACTGTGTGTGAGTACACAGCAGAGTTAGCTGATCTTTCCTGGCCTCTATTTTTTTTCATGGCTAACATGAACAGAATAATATCTTCTTCCTCAAAGAGCTGTTGGGATGATGAAGAAAGCATTCCTCCAACCTGCCCAGGACTTGGAAGGTGCTAATCCTTATTCTCTGCACTCTATAAAAAGCTTTGCTGGTATTTCCCGCTGGAACAAAGGAGTTATCTTACAGAAGGGTCAACAGGATCAGGAAAGATGGCAGCGTCTTCACCTCTTTGGGAAGCCTCCTCTGTCTGACCCCTCTGTCTGTCCTCTGAAGTGTTGGCTCAGGACGCTGAGTATCTCCTGGATAGGACTGTCCACGTGGTGCTGTAATCTGCTGTTTATTAGGTCATCATCCCAACTGGTTGAAGGTTCTCTAAGGAAAATGACTGCCTTTTCTTCAGCATGGTCCCTTTAGGACCCACCACACTGTCTAGCACACGTTCACACTTGTTGCTGATGAAAGATAAAAGAAATGTGCTAAAATTCGTGTGGCTCCACGTGGATTGTAAGAGATAGTCAAGATGTGTGATTGCAGCCACCTTTGCTCAGTTCCTACTGTGTATCAGACATCTCAGTCGATTCTATTTTCAGGATAGCGCCATAAACAATGAGAAAGAATCTTATAGTTGTAATATAAGTTGAAAATCAGGGAATATGGTTCAAAAAGAGTTGTTGAACCTCAAGAACTGGGCCTTGAGCTTATATATAGTAAAGAAGAGGAACAAGGACCTCTTTGGAAAGAGGGAAGGAGGATATTGTAAGCAAAAGCAGGGAAAATGCACGTGTGCGACCCCAGGAAAGGCCGTAAACACCAGTCTAAGGAATTCGGGCTGTCTTCTGGGCCTAGGAGGGGCGGCTCCAAACTCCCGGGCAAGGGGGTAAGCTGGAAAAGCAGACTGCACGCTCTCGCTGGGCACCGGGGCAGCTCACGCACGGAACTTGGAGGCTGATGATTCTCATTCCACCTGGTAGACACTGTGGGACCACCTGGGCTTCAGGCTATGCCTGATACTGAAACACAAAACTAGAAATTTATAAACAAAATAAAGTAAAAGAAACCATCCCCCTCCAAAAAAAAGAAAGCTTTCCCTACCTGGTAAGACCAGCCGGCTGCCTTTTTCCTCTTCTGCTTCCTTCTTCCTGTCCAGAAATGTTCATGAATTAAGTGAACCGAGGCTTTGTGACGCTTACACAACCCAAATAATCAAACAACTATATCGCTGCAAATTTCGGTGAGTGTTGTGAAGGAAGGGTATTGTGCACTTTGAAAGCACATAATAAGGTAATCTGATCTCTTCTCGGAAGTCAGGGACATTTTTGACTGTGAGAGGGTTGCTTAAACCTCAATAATAAGTACAAAGGTCATTTGCAGGTGTGTGCATGGGTGTGCTTGTGCATGAGAGAGGTGGGTGACATTCCTAGAAAGGGGTGACTGCACCTATAAGTAGCCTCAGGAATGAGGAAGATGAGTCTAGAACACTTAAAGAATCAGGTCATAAAGTAGGTCCTCAAATAATGCCATTTTTTTCAATGTCATTTTGTTATACCATTGAAGAGATACCTAGAAACTTAACTCTTCTTTATATCAATTATATAATATCAATTATATCAATTAGTAGCATTGGTTTTGTTACACATTATATGTTGCTTCACTTAAAGTTACAAGACCTGTCACTAAGGTTATGTGAGGACTCCCTTATTCAGCATTCAGGAAGGACTTACTGTGTGCCAGGACTTTCAGGCAATAATAACAATGCAAAGTCTCTGATCTTAAAAAGTGTATAATAATAATAACAACAATTAACAGTCAGAGGCAATTGAGATGCAACAAAGTCATATAAAATAATGACAAAAAGTTTAATTTATCTTGTACTCACCCATGACAGATAGTGTGTAGTTCAATCTTCATAACAACCCTATGAAAGAAATTCTATTTTTAATCCCAATATTATCAATGAGAACACCAGGGCTTAAAGATACAAAATATATTGTCCATGTTCGCACGGATAGTAAATGGTGAGTGACTATTAGATTCCATCATAGAAATATTCAAGTTCAAAGCTGTTATCAAAAGCACGGACATATAGTCCTTCAACAAATATTTATAGTCTGTTACATGCCAAGCACACTGGTTTTAAACAGTGACCTCAAGAAGCTTATATTCTAGATTCTAGTGGAGGAGACACATAATAAGCCATAACATACTATGTTTATTTTAATCAGTTTTAGGTGCAATTTAAATACAATAAACTACAGCAATATTAAGTTTAAAATTAGATGAATTTTGTCAAATTCACATAGTCACGTAACCACCGCTATGCTCAAAATTTAGAACATTTCCCTTGCTCCAGAGAGCAAGCTCTAAGATACAAAAAAAAAAAAAAATACACCCTCATGTCCCTTTGCAGCCAGTCCCCTGCTCCACCCACAGCTACTAATACTTAGTGGCCTGCTTCCGGTCACCACAGCTTTGCTTTTTGTAATTAATTTCATATAAACAGTATTATACGATATGCAGTCATTTGTTTCTAGCCTCTTTAAAACATTTGCATAACATTTTGAGATTTATGCGTGTCATTTCCTGTATCACTAATACCTTTGATTTCGCTGAGTATCAACAATTGGTTTCTCTGTTCCCCAGGTAGTGAACATAGGGTTGTGTCCAGTTTTTAGTTAGGATGAATAGAGTTCGTGCCCCAGAGAATAAACTGGAGAAGGAATGAAAGGAGGGCATGGCTCCCCGTGGAGCACATGTGCAAGAACAATTTAAGCCTTGCTTGTGAGGGTGAGATACCCGCCGCTTTCCAAGAACGACGGACAATAATTATTTAAACAGCTAACAGTCGTTGAATAGTTACCTCCTGAAAGGCATTGTTTTAAGGGTTTTTCAACTATGAGTGCATGTATTACTCACAGCATGCCCCTGAGCAGAGAAGTCCTGTTATTATTCCCATTTTACAGGTGAGGGAACTGAGGCAAAGAGCAGGGGAATAACCTGCCTAAAGACACAAAGCTGGACTGATAAAGCCAGGGTTTGAATCCAAGGAGGTTAGTGCCAGAGCTCCTGCTCTTGCGTAACACCGCATTCAACCTCTAAGATATAAGAAAATATAAAACCATACTCTTTAAAACCAAATAATGGCAAGATGTTAACCATCAATAAATCTAAGCCATAGGCTAATGGGTGATCAATGCACACTTTAAACATTTACGTAAACTTTAAAATTCTTATGATAGGACAGTAGGTAAAAAGATTGTTTTTGATGAGGTTTCAACAAAGTGATTAAAGGGCCAACACATACACACAAACTTACAGTGAGCGACAAACAGAACATTCTAAGACCCTAAGTCAGATGAGGCTGTGTCTGCGGGCAGGTCCACGCCTACCCCACTTCCGGCTTCTGAACTCCCTAAAGGTGGGAACTGGGCCCTGTGGCCTCTGCATCCCCTGCACCCAATGCTAGATCTAGAACACAGCTGGTGCCTAATGAGTGCTCAATTACCAAGTGAATGAAAGAATGGGGGAGAGGGTTCAGTCTAACATGGGGAGATGGTTAGAACTGTAGTGTGCCATTTCCTAGGGCTGCTACAACAAAGCACTGCAAACAGGGCGACTTAAAAGAATAACAGGTGATTGTCTCACAGTTCTGGAAGCGAAAAGTCCAGGATCATGGCGTTGGCAGGGCTGTGCTTTCTCTGAAACCTACAGAAGAGAGAAGGCCTCCTTGCCCCTTCCTAGAGTCTGGTGGTGGCCGTCACTCTTCATCAGGCCGTGGCTTGCAGTCACGTCGCTCCAATCTCTGCTTTTGTCATCACAAACCACGGCACTCGTCCCGTGCGTCTCCCTCTCCTCTCCTTAAAAAGGACAGCAGTTGTTTGTATTGGATTGCAGCCCATGCTTCTCCAGTATGGCCTTAACTAATTCTATCTGCAATGACTCGACTTCAAATAAGGTCACATTCTGCGGTCCTGGGGGTGAGGATTTCAACACGTCTTTGGAGCACGCATCAGTGGGTTGAACTGGGATTCAACCCATAATAACCCAAGTATTGGGAGAGAAGCAGGGGAAGCCAACGTTGATCTTCGTGTCTCCGAAACGTCCAGACGGGCACAAATCCAACCAGAATGCTCCAGCGTGGAAGATGGAGAACAAACTCAATATATATTTATTGACAATACTGACATTGCGAGGAATTTTACGACCTCCGCCAATCAAATGCCAGCAACAGCTGGCTTCCCCCCAGGTGCCAAGTCAGCTTTCCTTAAGCTGCTCGGGGCCGGCTTCGCGGCGGCTGTTTATGTTTTCAGCATATTAAGCAGTGTTTAGTCACTTTCTCAGGGAGGGCTTCTCATTGCGGTTTCTAAAAATGTGCTGAATGTGTTTCCAAAGAGGAAAGGCGCCAGAGGGCCCTTGGTGGGGCATGCCGGGCCTTGTAATCACGAACAGATGACAGGGCTGCCTGGCTCTGCCTCCAGGAAACGAGCCCGGGTCCTGAGTGCCAGCTCACAGCCAGCCCCGGCGAAACCACCGTGGTTTATCTCACAAAAGGTGTCTAAAGTTCGCATGGACTCCCGGGTTCTATCGATTCCCTGACGCTCCGGGGGACTCAGTTTTCTGATACCATAAGGAGACCCTGTCTTCCTAGCCACGTGATGGATCAAGAATCCCTAAGATCCTGCCAGGGCCTCAAGTTAGCAGGAAAGACACTCTGCGGAGACTTTTGCCCTGAGAGAAGCCGGGGCGTGGGCCCACACCTCTTGCACAAGCAGCAGACACCGGAGAGCTCTTCTTTCTGCCACAGTTCTTGGAGTGCAACTGACAGAATCTGACTAATTTCAACAAAGGGAGAAAAGTGGTTGTTGGATAAAGCCTCTGGGGCTATGGGAAGCCCGAACAGTCTCAGGCTGCAGCAACGCAGGAGCAGGGAACGCGTGCGGGCACCCGAACAATGGGGGAGCTCTCACAACATCCTCACGGCAGCTGGATCCACGAGCCCTGGGTGCCTGCGGGTTTCCAGTCAAGATCTCAGTTCCTAACCTGTCCGGAATCCCCGGCCCTCCTGGGTGAAGAATCGTAAGGGAGGAAGGAGGGCTGCTATCAAAAGAAGGGAGAGGAGGAGAGTGGTGGACAGGCAGCGGCCACAGCTCCCACGGGAAGACCGGCGCGTATGTGGGCAGAAGACTCGCTGAATCCGGCCAAAGGCAGGTCCGCCGCAGCCCGCCTTTTCGGGGCTGGTTTTCCTGGGAGGTCAGCAGGCGCTGGGTCTGTCTGAGGCACCCAGACCCTGGACAGCTTTCTCTCTGTGGCGAAGCTCCCCAAAGCGAAAGCTGTCTAAATAGGAATTTATCAGGGCTCAGAGACCCCACTGAGCAAGAGCAAGGCATTCACTACCCCTGTTCATCCATTGAACTTCAGCACCAGCAGAAAGTGCCGAGGCCAGTGAGCCCTGCTCTAACTCCTGCAGGAGAGAGGTCTGTGTTCCCGGTCTGGCAGCTAAGACTCTCCGTACCAGCAACTTTCTACTCCCACGGTACTTTCCAGAATGTTCCTCGGCTTGATCACTGGGCTCTCATAAAACCTTCTACGCAAAATCATCTCTGCCCTCCATGTGCTACAGTGATGGGCACCGATACCTAGGAGTACTCGGCAAAGGAAAGGTTTCCCTGAGCAACCAGAAATCCCCGGTGCCTCCAAACATTAGTCATTCTATGGGCAGAGGACGGAGAGGGAGATTGATAGGCACAGGGACCACAGTGCAACGTGGGAATCACCCAAGAAACATTTAGCAGCAGAAAGGAAGCCTATTAAGTGCACTGTGTTTATTCAAAGGGATAAGGGAAAACCTCTCCGAAGATTTAAAACACTATAAAGTCTTTCAAAATAATAATAAATGTGACTGCAATGGAAAAGTAGAAAACAAATTGCCAAGTGCCCCCCCTCCAAAAAAATCCACAAATTAAAAGACAAAGAGCAAATGGGGAAATAAGTATTTGCAACAACTATATAAAAGGGTGTTAATCTCTAACTTCATAACAACTCCATTCAGATTAAGACTAAAAGGAACAATTGCATGTTCAGTATATTTAATTATTCGACAAATATTTATTGTGCATGTGATGTGCTAAGTTCAGAGACAGAAATGCAAATTGCTTAGGATGATATAAACAGAAGCCTAACCTCATTCAGTAATTTAATAAATTTAAACTAAAACAGAAGGCTATTGTTTTTATTTTTACCTGTCAGATTGACAATGATTAAAAGGAATTACAAAACATGGTTTGGGCAAGGATTTGGAAAAATGGATATTCACACAGTGGTAATGGGAGTATAAATTGGCATAACTGCTTGAAAGGCCAATTTAGCAAAAGGTCAATATCTATTAAAATATCCTTTAAAACTCAGAAATCCCACTGCAAAGAATTGTTTTCTACAGGCATAGCCGCACGTGCACTCAATCATATATGGCTAAAGATACTCATTGCAAAATTGCTTGAAAAAGCAGCTACAAATAAAATGCTTCAAACTGGAAACAGTCTACACGTTCATCAATAGCTGATTGGGGATATAAATTATATTACATTTCCATAATAAAAAACCATTCAAAAGACTGTCCTGAAATGACACAAAAGGAATGGTATATATCAATATAAAAATTTCCACTATATATATTCAGTTAAAAAACAGAAGGCACAGGGCAGTGATAGAGAACAGTGATTATAGGATCCCTTTCGTTGGAGTGGTTGTATCAGATGGAAGGCAGGGGTGTACGTGTGGGAAAGTGTATGCATTCTAATCTATTCACGCAGGTTATACGTGCGACAATTTCCACTTCATTTGGTCTGTTCTCTGTCTGTTGTGTGAAATTCATGTCCTTCAATCTACAGATTGATTTGTTTTTGCATCGTCACCTCCCTG